CATCTCAGTAATCCAGGTAAAAAATCAAAGAAAAAAATTGTATAGGTCTTCTGGACGGGTTCTTCTGTTGTTGTATATGCTGTTAAGTGCCAGGAGGACTGCGACCAGTTATACATCGGGGAAACAAAGCAGCCACTGTTCAAAAGAATGTCCCAACACAGACGAACTACATCTAATGGCCTTTTTGATTTTTTACCTGGATTACTGAGATGCATCAGGACAAGCTGAAAGACGCACACTATTTGCAGAAGAATATCAGAAAATGTCAGAAAAGCAGAAAAAAAGCTAAAACCAACAAATGGAAATCATTTTTCAGAAATCTGAACAAAGAATAAAATAAAAACAGAACCAAAATGTAAAAGGTACAGTGAAGATATATGAACGTTTTAAAGGTTTCCATTCGTTTTCAATTAGAAAGAAAATGGTTGAAAAAGCTAAATATTTCAAAAAGTGTAAATTGCTGAAATAAAAGTTGCGTAAATGAAAACTGATTAATGTGTTATACTGGTTCCCACAATGAAAACTGATTAATGTGTTATACTGGTTCCCACAATGAAAACTGATTACAGCGTGGGTCACTGAGCCCAGTCTCCACCTGTCCTCTCCAACGATCAGCTGACTCTGCAGTTTTGTCCCCTCGCTGAAAGCTCCTCATCACGTCCCGGTTCATCATCTGCAGCGAGTCGTCGCTGCCAAACCGAGCTTTCTGTCAAATGGAGGCCCGGCAGCCAAGTTTCTAATGAAGTGACCTCGCAGCAGACCTGCGTATCTGCTGCTCACAGCCACCCGCAGCTTTAAGGAGAGCTGGATTTACAGGAGAGGGAGAGAGGAGCTGCCAGAGAAACCATCTGTGTGCTGGGAGCGCGTAAGCTCCTTCAGCTGTGCTGTCACCCCTAAACTCTGCTCCTCCATCTTTCTTTCAATATTTGAGGAGCTGACTCAGAGCAAACACTTCAACTGCTTTTGGTTTTTAAACAAAAACTTTCTGTTATTTCTCAACACAAGATTTTAGTTTCAAACTCAGTAGAGAAGCTGACATTTTCCTTCAAACTGGTCATTTGCTAAGAAGATGAGACAGGAAGCTCATTTTCTCTGCTTTCAGAGAATCAGAATCAGGGAGGACCCAGTAAAAACAGAAATCTGAGTTTCTACAGATTCTTGGTTTAATTAGTTTCACAAACATTGAATCAGACTGAGCTGCAGGGAGAATTATTTTAATCATGGTGGAGCAGAACAAACAGCTTCATCTGTCACTGTGACAGAATAAAAATGACGATCGTGGTTAAATTACACATTAAATTTTTATTGATGGGCCCGGTTATTGGTTCCTAATACTCCATAATCAATTAGAAACAAAAGCTCAAGAGGCTGAATGTGAAAACTGAAATCTCTCTAATCAATCTGAATCCAAACTTTTCGATAAATTCCAGAAATATTGACGTCAGAATTTTATTGGTTACTTTTTTAACTGCTTTGCTCACTAATCAGAGCACTAAGATCATCCAGTTTCTCTCCTTTTTTTTTTTTTAGATCAAACAAAAACCTAAAGATAAGTTTATTGCTGTTGCTGCCATTTAAACTGTATAATTATTAACGTTGTCTTTATTTAAAAAGACGTGTGCATTTTTATTCTCTTTTTCTAAATGTATTTATTGTTCTACTTTAGATAATTTTTATTTTATTTTAAACACGTTCTTTTTTGTTTTTGTTTTTCTTGAATGTTTTAAATGTTCAGCAGTTGTTTTGCTGCATAAACTACTTCCGCTAGCTAACCTGAATTTAGCTACACTAGCGATTTAAAACGCTCACGGAACGTGCTTCTGCTCATTTTTTAGTACTTTTTATTGATTTGAGCGATAATCCGAGTTTCGTTTACTTGGCTGCATCAAAAACAAACAATATTTTACCTGTTAAATTAAAGTTTACCGTATGTCCCAGCTTCAGGTCAGCCTTGGTTGTACAGACTCGGGCTCATCTCCGCCTTGTAGCGTCTCTGATCGGTTTGGTTCAGTGGGACACTGCTGCCCCTTGGCGGCGGAGTTGACTAACTGCAGGATAAAGTTAGTTTTAAAAACAGGAGAAGCCTCTTCGTAAAAACTTACAGGGCCGACTCTCGATTCTGAGAAATAAATACAACGAGCGAGACCATGAAATTAAAAATTGAAATTAAAATGAAATAAAATAAATAAAAACCTCCCGCTGAAAACCTCCAAAGACCAGAGTCTGGTTCCAGACTTCTCAGGTAGAAACATCTTCAATTTGGTAACTTCACCTGTAGTTAATTATTTCATATCTTCAAATAAATACAAATAATTTCTGCTCCACAGCGAGTTTATCTAGAAAATAGATATTTAATAAATATGTAATAATGACAGCCGCCGCCAGAGAGCGCTGTTGTTCCCTTTACAGAACATCAGACAGCTTTGGTTTTTATTTTATCTTTGGGGGTAAGAAATATGCAGTGTTTGATCTTAATAGGGACATTAAATGATTAAATAATACAAAAAAATAACTATAAAGAAACTAAAATGTGAGAAATAACCAAAATTATCACACTGAATAATCATATAAAGACGTAGATTTCCTAACGAGAGCCACAAAAACCCACAGTATGACCCAAAATCAGCTGAATGTCATGCTTTACAACCTGACTGAAATATAATAGTTACAATGACAATATATTTTAAAGTGTCACCACACCAGGGTAAATAAAATCCAAACAATCACAAAAACTGCAAAAACAATGGGGATACACAACTCAGCAGCTACACAACATATTTACCACAATGCACACAAGAGGTAAAGTCCTAAAAATACACAAAATTGTTGGAGAAATGACCAGAAAGTGAAACCAAACCAGCTAAAATTATCAAAATAAATGCAAAGAGGTGCAAAACAACCAAATGTGGGTCTGAAAAGTCCTCACAAAGAGTCAGGTTGTTAAAATTTAATGACTTTGTGCAGCTTCTGTGTTTGTTTTTTCATTTAATGAGGTTTTGGGTCCAGTTCCCTGTGGTCCAGTTTCAGTTCTGGAGCTGGTTGGTGCCTCTTCAGTCCGTTCAGCGTGGATCTTTAGAGGCTCCTGGTCAAAAAATTTATTCACAAAATGTTTGACCGATGAGTTTTTCATGGCCGGTCCCCGGGCTCCTGCAGCCCAGAAAGGTCCAGCTCAGAGGACAGAGACGTTCTTAAATAATCCTGACTCGGCAGAAAACTCTCATTTAAAAAAAGACGACCTTCACACGCAGACGTGACAAAGTCCCAGAGCCTGGAGCTGTCTGTAAATCATAAATATTCATCAGAACCGTTGGTTCTGCTGGGTTTCAGAGCTCTGATCAGGGCCGCAGCGAGGACGGACTCAAAGTTTGAAGGACGGGTTTTGATTTAAACTCTGAGCCACATTTCTGCTGTTTCTGTTTATGTTTTGTGTTACAATTCTCAAAACAAAACAAAGAAAAGTGGATTTCTTGCTTTAAAAAACTCACTTATGATTTTATTTTATTTATTTAAGTCACATGTTTGATATATTGTGTGTAGTTCTGATTTATTTAGTTTTAAGCAGTAAGACACTGTAATCAATATTAAATAACATTTTTATTAGATTTATTTCCTGTAATAAAAAAATGGTTTTATTTTCCTGTAAGACAAATTTGTGGCCACTAGAGGAGAGCACTAACACTAAGCACTAAGTGCTTCAAACATTTAAACATTTACAGGTTTTAATCCTGCTTTAGTTTAACCATAACAAGCAGTAAATTAAATTTTAGATGTTTTGATCTTAAATGTTTTATTTTTTCTGCCTCTGAGCTGCAGAGGAGCAGCAGGGAGCGGGGGGATGATGGGAAGCTTCATGGAGCTCAGTTGGGTTTAAACTGGAACCCTTCCAGGACCTCCCAGGTGTGGTTTGTGGCTAAATATTTTATTAGAATCGTCTCTAAATGTCTGTATTCATGACGTGAATGAGAGATTTTGTGTAATTTAAAATCAGTACAATATGACATGTTATTGTGTTAAATGAGAACTTTTCTTTGGATTTTTACGATTTTATTTTGAAATTTCTCTGAGAGTATCCTTAAACGTGAAGTCCGGTGGTCCGTGCTCTGAGTTTTCTAACGACATCATCTTACCCTAACCCCTCGTAAACCAGCTCTAAAACTGACTCAGATTTAATTCTAGGTTTCTCTTACAATAATTTATTCCAAGTGGCATTAAAAAATCTCAAAAAGTCTTAAAAAGGCCTAAATTGAACTTGCCTTTAAGAGTAAATTACCCCAAAATTAACTTTTTTTAGCTGATAAACTGTCTAGAATGTGTCTAAAATGTTATATAGTACTGTTTCTGTGCTACTGTTGATGTTTTTGTGCGTATTTGTTCAAATCTGTAATATTTGGTCTAAAAACATGTTTTACATATTGGTTAACAGCTCTCCACGGTGACGTGTCTTCTCCACGGTTTCGTCACAGCGGCTGTGTTCTGGTA